TACTTGGGAGGCTGAGACAAGAGAATCACTTAAGCCCAAGAGTTTGAGGCTGCTGTCAGCTATGACACCAGGGCACTCTACCAAGGGCAACAAAGTGAGACTCTGTCTCAAAAAAAAAAGACACATGTATTGTATTTTTCAGACATAATGCATTACACAAAAACTGAAGGATAGTGTAAACATAACTTTTATATGCATTGGGAAAACAAAATTTGTAACTTTTATTGTTAATAGTTGCTTATCTCAGTGGTCTGGAAGCAAATCCACAGTATCTCCCAAGTATGCCTGTACACACAATTGTCAATCAGAGGAACATATCTAGTTCTTTTCTCCAAAGAGCACAGCTCAAGAAGGAATGGGCTAGAAAGGTGAAAGGAGGGATGCACATTCAACTTAATAAAAAAAAAACCTTGATGCCACTCTAGGTAAATACTAGGAATGACTGAATACCATGGTAAAATATGAAATCTCCCTAGGTAGAGCTCCGTATAACTGCTCACCAAGGCAAAAAAAAGCCATCGGCATATGGCCCCAGAAAGTACTCTAGAATTCTCCTGCATTTCCTGGGGAAGAAGGCAGCTTTGTACTGTGGCTATCAGCCTCAGGAATTCTTCAATATGTCCAGTTCTTTTTTTCTTTAATTTTTTGAGACAGAGTCTCACTTTGTTGCCCTTGGTAGAGTACTGTGGCATCATAGAGCTCATGGCAACCTCTAACTCTTGGGCTTGTGGCTTGGCACCCGTAGCACAGTGGTTACAGTGCTGGCCACACGTACTGAGGCTGGCAGGTTCAAACCCAGCCCAGGCCAGCTAAACAACAACTGCAACAAAAAAAGATAGCCAGGCATTGAAGCAGGTGCCTGTAGTCCCAGCTACTGGGGAGGTTGAGACAAGAGAATCGCTTAAGCCCAAGAGTTTGAGGTTGTTGTGAGCTGTGACACCACAGCACTCTACCGAGGGCCACATAGTGAGACTCTGTCTCAAAAACAAACAAACAAAACCAAAAAAAACACAACTCTTGAGCTTGAGTGATCCTTTTGCCTCAGCCCCCTAAGTAGCCGGGACTACAGGTGCCTGCCACAGTGCCGGGCTAGTTTTAGAGACATGATCTTGCTCTTGTTCAGGCTGGTCTCAAACTCTTGAGCTCGAAAAATCTACCCACCTTTTTGCCTCCCAAAGTACTAGGATTATAGGCTTGAGCCACTGCACCCAGACATGTCCAATTCTGACAAGATCAGTGCTGGGTGTGCTCTGACTGGCTGGCATCACAGGGATCCCTATGGGGGCAGGTGAGAAGTCATATGAGATGGGAGACTGAAAAAACACCCACTAACCCAAATAACATGAAATAATTTCTAAACATTTTTATTTCAAATCTTTTACCCTCCCCAAAAAGACATGGGTCGGTACAGCAATCATAAAAAGGAGATACAAACACAAGAGTCAAATGTCTCCCGCACTGACACTTACAAAAAACTGGGAATTGCACATGGGGTTTCCAAACAGTACCTGCAGCAGCTACTAATGTCCCTTTACGAGAGTCAAACATGCCTATTAATACAGTATATACAGACACCCCATTCTGGAACTAATCTACAGGGACATCCCAACGCCCACCCCTTCCATCCCCAGAAAAATACCAAAACACACCCAAAGTGCATTTGTTTTGTTTATATCAAAACATCTTTCCCATCCCGCCCTCAAACCCTCCCACCCCATTTAAGATTGGCCTGCAAGTCTATTTTAACCATTTAGTAATTTTTTATAGCTTATGAAAATAAATTATACAGCAACTATTTTAATAAATTAAGCACAAAAAGGGAGAGTAAAGGGGGACAACTAAATGGGAAGACAAAAGCCAGGCCACGCTTTGGCTTGGAGGGTAGGGGAGCCAAAGGGGACAGAAGTGGTTGCAGTGGGGTGGGGTACCCCTTCTGGGGAAGAACTGGCAACCACCCTGAGCCCAGAATGGCACCCCTCTTCATTGAGTTTTTTAAAAACAACCAAAAATGTACAGCAGTGGCTATGCCACAGGCAGCACCAGTTTGGGCATTCCAACAACCAGTTTACCCAGAGTGGTGCCTAGACCCTGCCTGTCCCTTGGACAAAGTTCTGGGCCTAAGAGTGAAGGGCAGGTCCCTGTCCAAGGGAGCACCAGAGATGGGAGTATTCAGACCAGCCTTCCTGCTCCCCGAGCTGATTAGGGAGCTAAGGACGCAGCTCTGAGAGGGGCTGTATGGTTTGTGATTATCCCAGATTCTGAAGAAGAGTATCTAAGCCTTCCTTGCACTCTATCTCCAGGAGCAACTACGATCGCAGTCCAGCTGCAACCAAACATGCATGTATTCCCACCATGGCTGGCTTTTTGCCTGCCCCTCGATGCCTCTTGGCGTTGCAGAAGAGGGAGTAGGAAGGGGAAAGGGAGTGGTTCCAAATACCCTCTAAACCCTCTAAAGATGAAATGGAGTGAAGGCATGTCACAAACTCAGCATGCAGGACTGGCTTCCTGGGAGGTAGATGGGAATGGAGAGGGATGGCAGAAGGTGTAGAGAAACAGGAAGGGGAAACAGGAAGAAACTAGGTGACACCTACTAGGAAGGTCAAAAAGCAATGAAAAGGATAAGGGCAATATGAAATCTGCACATAAAGAAAGGTCTTTTTCTGGCAGATTAGATAATCAATATTTTAAATACAACTCATCACTCTATTTTTCTAACTGCAGTACCTGAGTCCCCATTGCCTGTGTCTATGATCCAACCCCCATCTCACTCCTCCCAAGACTTCACTCTCGATTTTCTCAAGACTTCCTGTTCGTTTTGTGCTAAGCATGAAGGCTCCAATGTCAAAACAGGATATATCACAGGGACTTGCAGACTTGACCTTTGTGGCCCAATATCCTATAGCTATCATAGTGTAGGTGAGGGCACACTTTCTTTTTTTTTTTTTTTTTCTTTTTTAATAAAAAAGGTTTTACTCCCCAGGAGCAAATAAATCATTTTGAACTACTGATAAACACTGCTGCAGTGAAAAGAAAGATGGCTACATGTATGCAATAGCACAAATTCAGTGTAAGAACAGCTGTGTTGACAATTAGAGATAAAAATCACTTATCCATTCTCCCCTTTCCCACAAACCAAACCAAGAGGATTCCCATAGGGAAAATGTCTAACTCAAAAGCTCCTCCCTTGCTGACAGGGGGCATGTCATTCTCTTAAAAGTGAAAAACAAATGCAGGGTCTCCTCCCAGTGGAGATGCGCTCAACACCTCAACTGGCAGCAAGACTTCAGCAAATGAAGACAGGCACACACAGACATACACACACACACACAGACTTTCAGACCACCTTTCAGCTACCTCCCAGGGCCTCAACCACTAACTTCCCCTTCATCTAACTCACTCTACTCAGGGCTCCAAAGCTATAGCAGAGGCAGATGGGAAGGGAAGGATGTTACAAAAGGACAATGTCCCTCGTCTCTCCACTTTCTACTGAGACCAGAGGGCTTTCAGCAGGCCACATTCTTCCAGGGGACCAGAGGTGAGAGCTGACAAGGCCAGCACCCCGAAGTACTTTTAGCTCTACTCCAGTCTCTTACCCTGGGTCTGGAAACTCTAACCAGCCTCTTTCCCCAGTTCTCCCTGAATGTGTTATAGGGGAATTTGTAGCTACTTCCACATCACTCCCAGCCTCAAGAAGGGGCTTACGTGATCAGCCCAAGTGAGAAGCCAGAAAAGAAGGAGCAGGAACCTTGGAGATGAGCTCCCTTTGGCCAAGTCTTTCTTCCACATGTCTCCCATTTCCAGGGTGTTATATTCACTTCACGGGGCATGGGCAGGTGACCAGAGCAAGGTCATCACCAATGGTTCCAAACTCCCTTAAGAGCCAGCTGTCACTTATCTAGTCTCCCACACCAAAGCTATTCTCATGCTCCAAACATAGCACACAAATTTCAAGAAACAGCAAGTTGTAGCAGTAGTTGTCACTAGCTCACATTGGTTCACACCCGACTAAGGAAGGTTACAGTAGATTAATCATAAACAAGTGACGCTACACATGCTGGTCCTGGGGCTACTGATACTAACCCAATCAATGGTGGGTCCCCAGAAGTGAGTGCCTTTTTCAGTTTGACTGTACAACAACGAGAAAGGAACGTGTTCCCTCTGTAGACTGCATTTCAATTAGTGCTGCGCAGCTGGCAAAATGGGTGGGCTGGCCAAGGGAGGGGAAGGGCAAGTGCTTAACCACTGGCCCTGCTATTCCTGCTCCCTCTCTGACCATGATGTTCTCAGAAAACAGGCTGAGCCCTGCACCTCCCTTTCACCTAACTTGCTCTACACAAGGCCACCCACACAGGCAGCAAACACCCAGGCCCCATGGAGATGGTCTCCTCTTGTGTTACTCTGTTTTGGCCCACTCTAAGGAACTTTAGCACAGACGGATCACAGTTAATTAAACACTACCCTCCCAGGAGGAGAGTGGGTGGGGAGGTTGGGTCATGCCTCTTCAGCTAGTTTGGTTTTATACCTGAGTGTACAAGTTCTCCAATAGAAACCCCAGTCCCACAGAGGTGCAGGGATTCTACCTCCCTCATACAGTAAAGTTCCTGGTGATGGCTTGAGCCCTGATGACTTCCAGCTTTGGGCTCTACCTCACCATGCAGACCTGTCTGATGACTGAAGTCTCAGTATAGACTACTGCACTGGAAAAGGATGCTTCAACATGGTTGCTCCAATAGGACTATGTATTTTTCAGTACATGCTGTGTAGATTTCCCTTATTTGTTGTCTCATTGTTTTGCCCTAACATACAACCCACAGCCTCATCAGCATGGACCTTTCCCACATCATCTAATCTACACTGATCTTATTCACTCCAATCATCCTTAAAGACAGTCCTTGATTTTCTGCCACAATGATCATTTTCCAATTGCTTCATGAGTGGCAGTCACCTAAAAGCTCCCTTATGCCACAGAACACGCCTTCTACCTCTTATGTTTTCTGCATTATCCAGTACCAAGCCAGACAAATACACACCGAAAAATAATTTTAAAATTATGAGTGGCTGAAATGGGGCAAGTAAAAAAGATCCCAGGTTGCCTATCAGGCATTTAAGGATCTCAATGGATTCCAGACTTTAGGCTTTACAGTGGGGTGGTACTTTCTGCAAAATGGAGAGTTACATGCCCTCTCCATAGGCAAGACTCACAGGGTAAGCCAATTACTGGGATCACAATCTTACTTGGTAGATAATACTGTCATGGAAGCCAAGGAGAGAAGAGGTACCACACGGTGAATCAGAGATGAGCTATGTTTATGCTCCGAAGCTCAACTTATATAGGCCATCTCTTTATAGCCAGATAATGATACAAGTTTCCTCCCTTTTCAGCTAGTAGGAGGAAGACTGGCCATTCCATGCAGGACATAAGGCCCAATGCTTCCAGACAGGCAGTCCTATAAATTACCAAGATACTAGAGCCTCACTCCAAATCATCAGGAAACCATAAACCTGACCATCAGGAAACCATAAACCTGACATTATTTATCTTGCGAGGCAAATATAAATATGGGGAACCCAAATGAGGCACTGTCATGAAAAACTTACTGCAAGACTAATAAAGACCCAACAGCTCAATTGTCACATTTCAACAGCAAACCTCTCCCCAGAGTAACTCCATAGGAAAACACACTCATAAATGTCATATAATTTGTCAATGGCCGGCTGCAGAAACAATTAAAGACCACTGGAGTTTTTCTCCCCCTCTTCTACATCTACTAGGAAGTCAGACAACTCTCAAATCAGCATCTAACAGACTTCCCAATGAATGGAAGGCCAACATATATGATTCAGGAAATGTTTGGGTAGCTAGTCTAAACAAAGGAAAATTAAGAAGCTCTTGCCACCTCCCATCTCAGAAGTGGGACAATAACCTAAAAATAGGAGATGTGATGCTCTTCTCTGATCTAAAGAAATCATTTTAGGGCTGAGCTGCTTAAAAGCTTTCTCTAGGAAGAGCACAGTTACCCATAGTTTTGTTTCTCACCTTCCTCCACATTCCCTCTCACTAGCTGATAGACACATGGAAGTAACGCTGACTCCTAAGTCATGGGTACAATTTGCCATTAAGAATCTAGAAGCATGCTCCATTAACCTCAGCAGCCTATGATTGGCTCTGAACTGCTCAGGTGATGAGAAACACTATTGCCTTGACAGCTGGCAGAAGCAATAGAAATGAGGTTACCATGACCACAGTGAAATGAACAGTTACTCTAGGGGTAATGGGCTGAGGATGGAAGAAGAATAGGGTTAATTTCAGGTCACAGAGCTTAAGGAATTAAACAGAATGAAACTAAGTACAGCTTCCATGAAAGTTGATTCCAAAATCATTTTCTTAAATCTTAAAATGAAAAGGATGCAGGGTGTCACTACTTTCCACAACAAAGACCATTTGTCAGTTTGTGTTCAATAATCTTCTCTTCAAGACCACCCACTCTTCTTTCTTTCCTGCTCCTACTGAGATTACCTATGGCAATGAGAAGCATATTCCCCTTCCCTCAGATACCTCTAATCTTGCTTGCACTTCTCTGGCTCCTGCCTTCTTCAAGGTCCCTGGTGGAGACTCTTAACTCTGCCTTTGGCACCAGCTTCATGACTGCTCTCCTCCCTGCCCCTTCTTTGGACCTGCTCACTCCTCATACCACTTCTAATCCAACAGGTACAAATCCCAGCTGCCTTTGAGGTTAAGTTTTCCACACCAAGAAATACAAACATCAAAAACAAAAGTTCTGAAAAAGAAACAGTGTTGAGACTTCTTCCAGTTTTCCAAGGAGCTTTTCCAGTTCTAGGATACCACATGAGTGGATGTGAGCAGTAGAGCCCCCACTCAGAGTATTACGGTTGTGTGCTTCTTCCAAGCCCCAGGGCTGTGAAGGGGAAACCAACGTTTTTGCACAAAGAATCCCAACCCTTCCTAATCCCTCTTGATTTTCCTCTCTCTTCTTTTCATGGTAGCTTCATTTGGTTCTTCAAAACTGGAACTTGGCAACCAAATGCCTGGGTAAAAAAAGGAAAAAAAAAAAAAACAGAAAATTAGAACAGTTCAACAAAGTAAACCAAAATGGAGTGAAAGAACAGCATAGCCACTGGCGGTAGAGACACTCAGCTAAATGGAGAATAAAGCCTGGATAGCCAAATGTTTCCAACAATACTGCAGCTGACTGGAGATGTAGCAATGGCCTCTGTAAGGGGGGATCTGAGCAGCGTATGACTTGGATGCCAAGACAAAGTCCTGAAGTAAGTAATAAATATATCCTACCACAATGCCTAAAGTCTTTCTTTTCCTCAATTTCCCATCCACTTCATCCCTGAGCCCTACCTACTCTAGAGACTAAAAATGGAAATAAGCCCCTAAAGAAAGCCCTCTGAGCCTGTTTCCATAGTTTCTAACTATTGAAGAGGGTTGACAAAGAATCACAAAGGCCAGTGTAGCTCTCACCTTCTGACTTGAGACAGGTACCGTTCTAGTGATTACTCTGTACCCTGACTCCAAGCACCCTGGCACAAAATCTCCCAGGTAACACCACACCAACCAAGCAGGCTATTCCGAACTCCCGAATCAAAATGAGCCAACAAAAAATAATAAGGCCAAAACCTTTCCCTTGGGAAGTGTTACTTCCCCTTTTCAAGGGGTCCTAGGATCTAAATCAGCAATAAATACAATATTATGTTTATTATCTGCCACAGGCAACAATCTTACTATCACAGCAAAAAGGAACCCTGGAAGTTCAGTTCAAACTTTGCCAATACAAGACTGCTCCAACTTTCAAAAACAAATGGCAACCATTGGCCTCTACCTTATCCTCCCATACTCTTTCCCATCTAAGGCAGGACCCTTACATTTATAGGTAGGTCCCCTTGTCCAGAATGTTGTTCCCAGACCCTCTCATGGCTGACTCCTTGATATTCAGGTAGCAGCTGAAATGTCACCTCTTCACAAGGCCTTTCCTAATCATTCAAGCTTGAGCTAACATTCAACACCACTAATCACTAAACTTTACCCAGATTTATTTTCCTTATAACATGTACAGTTGCCTGACATTAGCCTATTCATTTAGTTACATGTTTGCTGTCTTTCCTTACAAAGAACAGGGCCTTTGACTGTCTTGCTCAGCACTCTATTGCCAATTCACATCAGGTACTTAAGAAATAAACATATATCTACCAAATGAAAACTCTTAAGGAAAACCATCCCATTTTTGGACTCTCTATTAAAAAGGTTCTTCTAGGGAGATTCCTATGGCACTGTGGGTAGGTTGCCGGCCCCATATACCAAGGGTGGTGAGTTCGAACCTGGCCCCAACCAAACTGCAACAAAAAAAATAGCCGAGGCTCGGAGCCTGTGGCTCAAGTGGCTAAGGCACCAGCCACATACACCTGAGCTGGCAGGTTCGAATCCAGCCCTGGTCCGCCAAACAATGATGGCTGCAACCAAAAAATAGCCAGGCGTTGTGGCAAGCACCTATAGTCCCAGCTACTTGGGAGGCAGAGGCAGAAGACTCGCTTGAGCCCAGGAGTTGGAGGTTGCTGTGAGCTGTGATGCCACAGCACTCTACCCAGGGTGACAGCTTAAGGCTCTGTCTCAAAAAAAATAGACAAGTGTTGTGGTGGGTGCATGTAGTCTCAAGTTACTCGGGAGGCTGAGGCAAGAGAATCGTCCAAGCCCAAGAGCTGGAGGTTGCTGTGAGCTGTGATATCACAGCACTCTACTAAGGGCAACAAAGTAAGACTGTCTCAGGGAAAAAAAAAAAAGTTTTACTTCTTAAGCTGGACCAAAAGCTAATTCCTTATAACATTCATCTTGGTCATTGCCCTGCCCACAGGAACCATACAGAATAAGCTTTATCATTCTTCTTTAGAAAACCCATCAATGACTTCTTTTCAATTACTATTCCCTAAAACTTCTCTGTTCCAGCTATTATTCCCCAGCTTAACTCTGTATTTCTAGTCCCTTCATTTATTCCCCACATGATGAAGTTTGGAGCCCTCCACTACCCTAAAGCCCTTCTCTGACCGTGCTCCTGTTTGTGTGGGTTCATTGTGTGAACTAAAGTGGTACTCCTAATTATTTCTCAGGAGTACAGTTGGGCAGATAGACCACTCTAGTTCTCCCTCTACCTTCCTACCCTAATCTCAACTGTAAAAGCCACCATGCAAAGAAACCATCCAACATAATAGCCCTTAGAGGTTTTAGAAGTCACTTCCAAGGCATACAATTTACATATAATTGAAGAAATGTTAACAGATTGTATACGCAGTCCAGAAGCCCTTTTTTTTTTTTTTTTTTTTTTGAGACAGAGCCTCAAGCCGTCCCCCTGGGTAGAGTGCCGTGGCATCACGCTCACGACAACCTCTAACTCCTGGGCTCAAGCGAGTCTCCTGCCTCAGCCTCCCAAGCAGCTGGGACCAGAGGCGCCCGCCACAACGCCCGGCCACCTCTTGGTTGCAGCCCTCATTGTTGTTTGGCGGGTCCGGGCTGGGGATTCGAACCCGCCACCTTAGGTGTATGTGGCTGGCGCCTCAGCCGGTTGAGCCACAGGGGCCGAGCCCAGAATCCTTTAAGTGAAAACTCTACAGCCTCCCAGAATTGTTTTTTTTTTTTTTTTTCCTTGAGACAAGAGTCTCACTGTTTCCTCAGGTAGTGCGCAGTGGCATCATCATAGCTCACTGCAACCTCAAAATCCTCGGCTCTAGCAAACCTCTAGTCTCAGCTTCCTGAGTAGCTGGGACTATAGGTGTATACCATGATACCTGGCTAATTTTTCCATTTTTAGCAGAGATAGTTCCTTGGTCTTGTTCAGGCTGGTCTCAAACTCCTCAGCTCAAGGGAGCCTCCTGCTTTGGCCTCCCAGAATGCTAGGATTATACACATGAGCCACTGTGCCCAGCCCAGAGTTCCATTTCTTAATATCTCTTCTCCATTTCTTTTCCTCTTGTTAATCCTTATTAGCCCAGCTCAGATGTTTTCCCCCCAAAACAAAGGATCAGGAACTTCCCGAAGAGCCAAGAGGAGACCCACAGTTAGGTTCAGATTAGCCATGCCTGTAGAAAACCCAGTTGTCATTCTCTCTGATTAGGAAAATAGCAGAGAGGGTAGAGAGATTAAAGCCTCCTTTTCACTCTAAGTTTCCTGTGGGTTTTTCCCTTTGTTATGTGTTTGGAGTGGGACTGCGGAACAAAGGTTAGTAAAGAAGTATTAATATTCAGTGCTTTAAAAACAACACTCCACACTAAGGAGAGCCAAGAGTCACTGGCAGTCCATCTTGCTCATCCTTAAGACCACCAAAGGGACCTCTGGCAACTGCATCTCCTACTCACTTCAACCTTGCAATGTTCACTTTAATGTAATTTAAAAGATTAATTACAATTCATCTGCACGAACAAGTATTCCAAGATACTTTATGGGAAAATAAATGAGTAGAACTCAGTGTAGCAATGGAAAATAGCCTCTTAGATAAGTGAATTCTTTAGTTAATCCATTTAGTCTCTCTCTCTCTTTTTTTTTTTAATAGACAGAGTTTTACTCTTATTGCCCTCAGTAGAGCACCCTGTCATCATACCTCACAGCAACCTCCAATTCCTGGAGCTCAAGTGATCCTCTTGTCTCAGCCTCCCAAGTAGCTGGCACTATAGGCACCCGCCACAATGCCCAGCTAGTTTTTAGAGACAGAATCTCACTCTTGCTCCTTAAGCAATCAGCCCTCCCTCAGCCTATAGCCTGGGATTATAAGTGTGAGCCATCGCACCTAGCCCAATTCATTTATTCTCTTGAACAAATGAATTTCTCTAAGGAGAAAAGCAAACTGTTTTCCTCATCTGCATATTCCACACTGTGGGACAAGGTGGGGATCTCACTGAAGTATATGCCTATTGCTACTAAAGCATGTTTGCGTTTCCTCTGATGAAGTTTTCTTCTCCTTTGGATTTTGCTTTATACTATATAATTTGTACAATGTCAGGAAGATCAGCCAAAGTATGAGAGAAGGTGACATACTGAGCTATACTTGTGTGTCCTCTTCTTTGGTTATGTTCAGCAATTAGCTTGTATGTTTCTTGGCAAATATTCTTTAAGCCTTTAATGTTCATCTGCTTTTCTCCCCCCTTGGGGGCTCCATTATCAGGTATGGTAACTCTGTGGACAGTTGCCTGATCAAAACTATACATGGGGGGGAGGGGGCAAAAGGCTCAGCACATGATGATAATTGCCAGGAAGCGATGCAGCTGACAGTGAGGCAGAGAGCTCATACCCTTGGTGGTGATCAGCAGGGGGCCACTCCCTTGCTACGTGGAGGGTTCTACCTCCTGCTTCTGTTTGGAAATAAGTTGCGCTTCCTTTAGAGACAGGTACACCTCTTCCTGAGGATCATAGTAGTAGAACTTTCGGATATAAGAAATCAGAGGTCTGTGAAAAACAAATGAAAAATATATAAACACAAAGGGTTATTTATACAGAATATAAAAGAAATATCTCCTTTGTTCAATCCTTCGTCATTCCCTGCATGGTTATACCAAAGATGCTGCCAACCTAACAAAATTCCTATTTTCTCACTTATTATAGTTCTGTCTCCTGCTTTCTTACCACTCCCACTCTGCTCTTCATAGAGACTACAGAAGGGAGACTGATAGACACATTTTCCTCCCTTCTGGTTGCAATGTGACAGTTCTAAAGCTAAGACATAAGAGAATGAAAGAATGATACCTGTGGATATTTTATGCAAGACTCTGCCATGTAAGCAGTTTACAGGCCTGACATTTGTAACTTACTCCACCCCTGTCCCAGCCCCAATCCAAATGACCCAGTTGTACTTAGGCAGTGGGAGATCCGGGATGTGATCTATCCTGACGAGCTGCCGGATCCGGAATCTGCAAAGGTGCTGGAGGGATTTGACATTGCTGAAACGGGACACTGGATAGAGCAGTTGGACAGGAGTTGGTGGCAGTCCTTCAAGAATGAAAACAAGGGGAAATATTCAGAGAGAGAGCAATGAGCTAACCACAACTTCCCTTACAAAGAGAATCCAGTAAGGGAAAATAGGGCTTCTCTATCATTCGTATATACAATTTTCTGCAAAGCCTTTCCACAAAGCTTTGTTGATTTTCATCTTCAGAAACACCACTACCACATTTCATACTTAAGGAACTTACTCTCTTCTGCCAAGGGCATCCCTGACCTCAGAGAGTCTTGCTCCTCAGACCAATGAATAATGCCAAGCTCTCTGCTTGGAGCCAAGTGGCCAATTCCAGGCTCCCAGGGAAGGGGAACAATCAAAAGCATCCCTGCTAGAAATAGAAGACATACCGTTTGGCATATCTAACAATATCCTGAAAGTGGGACTCAGGTTGTTTGGAGGGGTCCCCACCAAATTCCAACTGGTTAAGAAGAGAGGCTCCTAAGTAGAAGGCAACAGCTAGGATTAAAGTTGACAAGCCTATTACCCTGGCCATTTATTTCAAGCTAGGACAATCAGGTTTAGCAACATCTTATACCTACTTCCTCCCCATCACTCCTCTTCCTACTTCTGAAATTTTAGGCTGGGTTTCAGAAACAGGAAAAAAAAAAAAAAAAGGACTTTTTTTGACAGCGCCTCAAGCTGTCACCCTGGGTAGAGTGCCATGGCATCACAGCTCACAGCAACCCCCAACTCCTGGGCTCAAGCGATTCTCTTGCCTCTGCCTCCCAAGTAGCTGGGACTTATAGGCGCCTGCCACAACACCTGGCTGTTTTTTGGTTGCAGCCATCATTATTGTTTGGCGGGCCGGGGCTGGATTCAAACCTGCCAGCTTAGGTCTATGTGGCTGGCGCCTTAGCCACTTGAGCCACAGGCACCAAGCCAACTTTTTTTTTGAGACAAGAGTCTCACTATGTTGCCCTCAGTAGACTGCCGTGGCATCACACCTCACAGCAACCTCAAACTCTTGGGCTTAAGTGATTCTCTTGTCTTAGTCTCCCAAGTAGTTGGGACTACAGGAGCCTGCCACAATGCCTGGCTATTTGTTGTTGTTGTTGTCATTGTTGTTTAGCAGGCCCGGGCTGGGTTCGAACCCACCAGCCCCAGTAATTATGGCCAAGAAAAGAAAGAAAATAAAGTATCTACTACTATTAGGTTTAATTTCAAACAATTTTTAATTTTGGTTCAAGGCATGAAAATAAAAAAATTAAAGCTTGCAGAGTAATTACCAAAGCCTTTTCATGGCTGCTGACAACTGACTTTCTAAAAAAGAAAAACAATCAAAATATATACTTTACTGTTACTAAACAAGTAAACTTATTTTATTTATTTTTTTTTTTGCCCTTGGTAGAGTACTGTGGAGTCACAGCTCACAGAGACGGAGCCTCAAGCTATCCCACTGGGTAGAGTGCCATGGCATCACGCACACAGTAACCTCCAACTCCTGGGCTTAGTTGATTCTCCTGCCTCAGCATCCCAAGTAGCTGGGACTGCAGGCGCCCACCACAATGCCTGGCTATTTTTTGTTGCAGTTTGGCCTGAGGCCAGGTTTGAATCGGTCACCCTCGGTATATGGGGCTGGCACCCTACTCACTGAGCCACAGGCACCACCCACAAGTAAGCTTATTTTAAAACTACTTAACTTTAAGGAGGAGGGCACTAGCCCCATATGCCGGAGGTGGTGGGTTCAAACCCAGCCCCCGCCAAAAACCGCAAAAACAAAAAACAAACAAAAAAAAGTACTTTAGTCTTCAGAACTATACTTTGAAACAGATAACCACCATTCTCATTCACAGATGAAGAAACTGTGACTCCTTAAGCTTAGAGAACTTAGCAATGGCACAGAACCAATAAAGCTGGCCTGCCTTGAACACCTTCTCTAAGGAAGGGATGCCAGTGGCTCTGCCAAAGCCCAAGGACCCTCTCATGGGAGTTCTCCAGGAGAGTCTCCAGAGTGCCTATCTCTCTGTCTGAAAAGGGGGCTGTCTAGGATATTCATAGCACCCTGCTTCGTAACTAGCCTCTCCTAGTTCCTCTTCTCAAGACTAATTTTAAGCTCTTTAGCTCTTCTCCACTCATGTGGTTCATCCTCTCCATTTAAAGAGGCAAAAATTCAAACACAAATTTCTCACTTAAATATCTTTAACTTAAGTAGGTTTAAAAAATGATTTTTGGGCTCGGCGCCTATAGCTCACCGGGCTAAGGCGCCAGCCACGTACACCTAAGGTGGTGGGTTCGAATCCCCAGCCCGGACCCGCC